TTTCTGAAGAAGGGTCTAGGCCCAAAATGTCAGCTTTCCTGCTCCTATGATGCTGCTTGGCCTGCTGTGTTCATCCAGCTCTACACCTTGTTACCTCATGATTATAGACCCCTTTGCTGTAGGGTAAGGTTTCTCCCCATCTATCCTTCTTTGCCTCTCAGAACTTTGTACACGTTGGAGGGAGTGGATGTTTGTGGATGTGATGCAAATTGACCAGGCTGCTTTGTCCTGGATGGTGTCCAGCATCTTGAGTGTTTTTGGAGCTACACCTATCCTGGCAAGTCGGGAGTATTCCATTACAGTCCTGACTTGTCTTCATTGAACAAAGGGAAGAGAAACTTTTGCACATTTGTTTTCAGCCCACCTTACAAACCAATTGCAAACTATTGTGTTATTGATTGATTACATACACATCCAATCAGGTCAATCATGTGACTGTGTGATCAGTTGATGGTCAGATATAGGTCTTGCTATGATCTCATGATATTTATCAAACACCTTTATCAGCTGTCCTTGAGCTTTTACAATGCATCTTGTTTAACTACATTCCAATACTGCTGACTTCTACACCTGTTATTCAATCCTGCCTGCTAAAGGCTGGGGGCTTCTCTGTTCTATCTGAGGCTGTCAGTCCACAGGAATTCAGTTAAGTCCCTTAATGTCTGTTACATTTAAAACTCTACTAATTATAGCTCCAGAGTGCAGTGGAGCCAGATTCAAGAAAGAAATAGGTATGTTTCTGATGTAAAATGGGATAAATGGCTATAGGAAGCATTCAGGAAAGTGGAGTTGAAACCAGGATAAGATTAGCCATGATCATGCTTATTGGCTGAACTGTCTACTCTTCTCCTAATTCCTATGTTCCTGTATATATGTATGTTTATATGTACATGTGATTAGTCACCTAAAATGATCTTAATTAATGGGAGTCAAGCTTTTCTCCTTCTATCCCACAGTAAATAGCAAACTTAGAATCCCCGCTTGCAAGCTAATTCAATCTGTGCTTCTCGAGGATATCCCTTATCAAAATTATCTCCATGGCTACATTTTTGATTCTTCTTAATAAGGTCCCACTGTGTGATTTTTATGAGATGCGTTATATCTTATCTTGTTGCTACGAGTACGCAGGCCATGATTCTGACCATGCATATTGCTGCTTTAGTTAACAATCTTCTTTGGCCACTTTTTTGTCAACTAAAAACCATTGGCAGCCATTTTATGTTAACTAAGAACAATGGACAGGCCTAACACACAAAGAGAAAAGAAGGGAAGAATAAGAGTGTCAATGATAAAGGAAATGTTATATCTGGGCAGGAGTGTAAAGTGGCTGTTACTAACTTTCAAATATATTCCTCACAGTTTTTATTTTGTTTTTGCCCTAAAAATAAGATCAACCTTTACATGATTATATGTTATTAATTAAAAACATCAAGACTGCGAATAGTGTCTATCTGATAACACTGCAACAGTGTAGTGAATGTCCTGCCATTTCTGTCCAAAAAATTTACAAAATGCAAGATATTCACAATGCATTTTCAAAATAAAATCTTCAAAAGATAGCCACACAGAATAATAGTTTAAAAAAAAGCCATCAATTACTTGGGCTGGTGATATTACCACTGAGATGCTTTTACTGCAGAGAGAGAGACTTGTGGACATGAAACATGGAAGTGCAAATTTCCAGAATATCTTGCAACTTTTATGTTCTTAATGTATTTCAGCTTTTTTTCCCCTCCAGGCTTCCAATCTAACAGCACATTGGCAGGCTGGTTCCCTATTTCGTAGGAAAGGCAGCAGCAGGAGTGCAGCAGAACAGCACGTTGGAAGAGATCCCTGTTGTGGGGTTGGAAAGATTCCAGGAATGACATATTGTTTGAGATGTGGAAATTGGTTGTGGGTTAATGTTACGGGCGGGGGAGAGAGGGGAATCTGTCTATGATATGGAACAAGCTGATTGCAGATGAGCGAAAATCATAGCCATGGGTGGATCAGATAGTGGGAGTAATTTGCATGATTAATTACAAGGAAACACTCTAATTTCTCCTGGCCCAACAGCAATGCTGCAAAGGCTTATTTGATGGATCCAGCCCTTCTAACCTCTTTCCCTGGAAAACCCAGATACAATGGGTGAAATGTAAAAGTCCTGATAAAATGAGTCACACAGCCTCTTTTCAGTACCAGACCGACTTCCCTCAAGCGGTGTGGTCTCCCAGCTTTCAGCCTGAATCCTTTAAAAGCAAAAAATAGACGGGTTCAAGGTGGTTTGCATTTGAGATTTTAGATATTCATATGTATTTCTCAACCAGGTGACACTCATCAATTTTTGGAGATTTAGAATTTTCTTTCTACGAATTGCAGTTTGATTCTGAGTCAAGCAATCAAAATGGACCTAATGACCTTCTCTATACTGATTTTTAATCTTGTGAACAGATGAACAATGCAATCTATGCACCTCAAAACAATGAAATGGCTTTAACACTATGTATAATGTTATTTGTAAGATTAGTTTGGAAGCTGCTGAAGATATGCTGTATGGAACCAGTGGCTGCCAGTTTTTTCAGACTCTTTATTCGTTAGTGAACAGTACGCTCCTGTGTAAGCAAAATCTATTTTTAGACGGCAAGGAAGCCGTGGGTGGAGCTTTAGATTGTGTGGCTGTTTCTTTCCTGCACAATTATTATTTATTTATTCTTAGTATTCGAAGAGTTATGGATCTAAATGATTGACAATGTGAATATTTCTTTCTGGTAAGATTTATATATCACATTCAATTGACAACACATTGATCAATAAATATTTAATTCAAAGAATCCAAATTTACAACTTAGCATGAGCATAAGCTATATTTTCAAACAATTTTATTTTTAGTTCTATTTACAAATTACATCAATGGGTTAGTGTAGTGGATTAATCGAGACTAACTTCACACTGATATCTAATGCCTTGACCTTGCTGCTGAAGCACTTACAATCACTCCCGACGACCTGTGCCCCCACGTCCTTACAGAGCACCATCACTTGTCTGTACCTGGGTCCCCCTTTGGGTGGGTGTAATACGCACTATCTCCCACAAATGCTGTTGAATAGGAAGAGCTGTTAGCCTCTGATTAACTGACACCTCTCAATGGGAGGGACTTTCTTCGCCAGCATCCTTGATCCCGGGGAATGTCCACCGCTGACCTGTTAATAGCTTGACTGCCGCAAGATGTGGCACGACCTCTCAAAAAGATGTGACATGCAGGACTTGCCAACTGAACCCAGCTGGAAGCTAGCTGTCTGTTGCCTCTACAAGATCCTGCATCAGAACTTTGTGATTAGGAGGAACGCCTGCCACTGCTACCAACTGAACCCAGCTAATACAGCTTCCAAATTTAACTCCTGAAAAATCTGATGCCAATTGTTTAAGGCTGCACTATCTAATTCTAGTCTCTACAAAAAGCATATAGCGATCTGTACACTATTATTATCCCCCATTAAAATGTCAATCAAGTAATTTCAACCCAGCACGGTGGCTCAGTGGTTAGCACAGCGCCAGGGACCCGGGTTCGATTCCAGCCTCGGGTGACTGTGTGGAGTTTGCACATTCTCCCTGTTGGCCCTTAAGCCCAACAAGCCCACACCAACCCTTAGAGAATCCCACCCAGACCCATCCCCCTAATCTACACATCCCTGAACACCATGGATAATTTAGCATAGCCATTCCACCTAGCCTGCACATCTTTTAACTGTGGGAAGAAACTGGAGCACCCGGAGGAAACCCACACAAGACACTGGGAGAATGTGCAAACTCCATACAGACAGTTCCCCACGGGTGGAACTGAACCAGGGTTCCTGGCACTGAGGCAGCAGTGCTAACCACTGAGCCACCCTGATAATTTGCCTTCAATTTCTTGAGCTTCAACATTAGCCAACAGTCTAATAAGAAGGGCCTCATCAAATGCCTTCTGGAAATCCATATTACTGATTGCCATAGATTTTCCTCTGTCCACTATGATCACCTCTTCATAAAACCTGCTCTTTAGAAATCCTCAACAACAACAGTTCTGAGGAAGGGTCGCTGGACCTGAAACGTTAACTGTTTTTTCCTTCACAGATGCTGCCAGACCTGCTGAGTTTTTACAGCAACTTTGTTTTTGTTCCTGATTTATAGCATCCTCAGTTCTTTCAGTTTTTTTCTTTACAAATTCTCATTCGCTGACTTCAATCAGCTGAAAATTTACTATGTGTCACCATAATTTACATTATATACTTCAGCAATTTCCTTACAACAGATGCTTGTTCCCATCCTCCATCTTTTGTTTGCAATATTGTCTCTTACACCCATTAAATCTCTGGGATGGAAGGCATCAGGTCCATAGGATTTGTCATTCTGAGCTGCAATTATTTTCTTCATGACTGTGATTTAATAAAGTCTGAAGTCACCAGCTTAGAGTCCAATGGGTTTATTTGAAATCACAAGCCTTCAGAGGGCAGTCCTTTCGTCAGGTGAATTGAG